AGGTCTAGATGTAAGGCAGCAAATGGTGATGCCAAATCCACTTACCCCTAGAGTCTTGACATATGTCGGGGATGAGGCAGGGACTCGGGTCCAGAGCCTATAACCCTTGAACCCAGACTAGGTTTAGAAGTTGGATCTCTGATACCAGAAATCACAGACCCTTGAGCCCAAGGTCTAACCTGAGATTTTAAGCAGGGTTTGGTGGTCATTCATCCTGTCCCAAGGTCTTTGGTCCTTGGGAGATAAGACAGCTTTGTGACCTTGAATTGATGGGACTTTCCCAAACAGCTTGATAAACATAAATGCTTGGGTCAAGGGCTTAGGTTCTACATCTTGTCAAGGCTCCCAGGTTTGGGATACTGGTTTGGGAAACGTTTCCCTGGGTCCAGTTCAGATGGCAGAGGCAGGAAGGGTCAATTTTGAAGTCCTAGCTCTTGTGACCAGCCTGAGGGTTGGGGCTGAGGTTGGCCTCAGACAGAGGTGAGACAGGACCTTAATGTCTTGAGGCTGCTATCCCCCATACTTGAGTTAGGGGATGAGGCCTGGGAAGGTGGTCCTGGGGCCCCAGTTACCCAATTTCTGGAAGCTTGGTGAGGAGTAGTCCTAGAGCTGCTCGGCAGGTGGGTGGTCCAATGGTCCCAAAGCTGGAGCCTGGGCCTCCTTGGGTTGGGAGAGATCCTTGTAGGGTTCTCTCCAAGTCTGGTTCAGGTTGTGCTCCTCGGAGGCTGGGGATGATCTTGGACAGCTGATGTGGGTGACAGGGTTCCTTCCCACTGAGGACCCTGCTATTGCATCCCACAGAGGAGGACTTTGACTGGCCGGCGGCCTGTATTGAGCTGGAGCAGCATCTGTCCCGTTGGGCAGAGGATGGACGCCGGACTGAGTACTTCTGCCTGGCCGATGGTCATTTTGCTTCCATTGACTCAGTGCTGCTGCTCCAGGTGAGGTTGGGGTGTCACGGGCCAGGGAGGGGTGGGCCAGGGTGACTCCAACAACATCACCTCCCTCCCCTCCCAGGGTGGGACACACTGCCTGTCGGGCTCCCGAGATCGCAATGTCAACTTGTGGGACCTGCGGCAGCTGGGGGTGGAGCCCAGCCGGGTTCTGGTCAAGGCCTTGGGCACCCAGAAGAACAGCACTCACAAGGTGAGGGAGTAGGAGGCTAGGCAGAGGATAGGAAGAGTGAGGCCTGAGTAGGGCAGCATGGCTAAGGCACGGGTTTTGGCACTAGACCTCATAGATTTAAATCTTACTCTGCTATTGTTAGTGCGACTTTGGGTGAGATGTATGACTTCTCTGGGCCTCAGTTTCTGCTTCTGTCCAGGGGTCAGTTGGGATGAGGACGAATGAGATGAATATGCATTAAGAACTTTGCTCAGGCTCAGGCACAGTAGGTGCTCAGTGGATGTCAGGTATACCTTGAGTTGCTCAGGGCAGGGCAGCTATGAGGCTGCTCTTGGGGATCAGATAGTTCTGAGCATGACTGTCATCTTGTGAGAGGTAGCCATGGAGGGGCATCTCCACCAGCCACTAAGGTGGGCTAGGCCGGTGGCCAAGAGCTCCGTCTTGGTGCCTAATGCTGGGTTAAATCCCCACTCTGCTACTTCCCGGCTGTGTGACCTTGGGTGAGAGACTCAACCTCTCTGTGCCCCAGTTTCATCACTTGTAGAATGGGACACATTACAGTACTCTCCTCAGAAAGTTTGGTGAGGAAAGTTTGGTGAAGTCAGTGGGGAGCTGACTGTGCCCTGTGCATTTTAGCTCCCGAGACAGGGACTTTTTAATGCGCATTTCACAGTGAGGAAACTGAGGGGAGGGTACTTGATTTGCCAGGGTCACGGAGAGGAGGCCCCATTTTTAATCACACTGTGATGTGGCCTCAAACCACTGCTGGTGCTGAGCCTCCGCAGGAATAATTCTGGAATATTATCAGGCAGGGGTGTGCTTGTCCTGGGCTCTGAAGTCAGACAGACCCACCGACCTAAGCTCTACTCTCTACTCAGTACTGACTTGCTCTGGGTTCTGGGGTCGGTTGTCTGCTTCCTCCTACCCTCAATGTTGTTATCTGTGAAATGGGGATGATCATGTGGGTCTGGTCCCATAGGGCTGGGTGTGGTCGCTGGCGGCGCTGGACCACCGAGTGTGCTCTGGCTCCTGGGACAGCACGGTGAAGCTCTGGGACATGGCAGCTGACGGGCAGCAGTTTGGCGAGATAAAGTGTGAGGGGTTCTGGGCAGGGAGGTCTGGGTGGGCAGGGCTCTATCTGGCTCCAGCCCCAGCCCGTGGTCTGTGTGTCCCCCAGGGGCAAGGCAGCCGTGCTGTGCCTGTCCTACCAGCCTGATATCCTGGTGACCGGCACCTACGACAAGAAGGTGACCGTCTACGACCCCAGAGGTGGGCTGGGGGCCCTGAGGCCTAGGTGGGGAGATCAGGGCTGCCTGGGGTCTCCAGGGTCGTCCTGGGGAAGGAGACACTTGGGCCTCACAGCCTGACTGGGGTGACAGTCACATAGCCAGAGTGGCCTGTGTTGTGCTAGGGGCCACACAGGTGTGTGTGGGCGGGTTAGGGGGCAGAGGAAGCCCTGCCTGCGTGTAGGGTTGGGTGAAGGACTGGAGGGCTCCCAGAGGAGGGGCCTCTGAGCCTGAGTACCGTGTGAGGCGGGACAGCCCTTGAGAATCCTGGCTCCCCCACTTTCTAGCTGTGCGGCCCCAGTCAAATTTGAACCTCAGTTTCCCCATTTGTCAAATCGGGATAGTAACTCCAGCTGTGTAGGGCTAACGAGAGGAGATGACAACAAGAACTTTGGTGGATTAAATGTTTACATGAGATGCCTAGAGTTCATGCTGCCCAGCACATAAACCTTTTCTGTTGTTTATTTATTTATTCGTTCTTACTTTAATTGAAGGGCTAGTATAACTTCTTCAGGCAAAGCCAGAGCTGGAGTCGGGGTGGGAGGAAGTCTCAGGCTGATCTGCAAGAGGAGGCATTTATGCTGGGACTTGCCGAGGTCTGATCTGTACTGAGAGTAGATGGGACTGGAGGAGGGAGATGGGACAGGAGGTGGAGGGGCAGGGGCCTGGGGGTCCTATGAGGCCCAGATCCAGCTGGGATGGGAGAGGAGCACCGGGGTCACCTGTGGGATGGGGGTGGGGGATGCAGACCAAGGGTTTTGCCAAGGAGGTTGGAGGCCTGGGATGCTGGGGTGGACTGGGGGGTCCTCCAGGGTATCTGATATCCCCCTCCTCCCTGGCCCATTGCCCACGAAGCCGGCCCAGCCCTGCTGAAGAGCCGGCGGCTGCACTCGAGCGCGGTGCTGGCGCTGCTGGCGGACGACCGGCACATCATCTCAGGCAGCGAGGACCACACGCTGGTGGTGTTCGACCGCCGAGCCAACAGCGTCCTGCAGCGGCTGCAGGTGGGCATTCCCCAGGGACCCGGAGGGACCAGGCCTGCGGTGTGGCCGGGACTGGCCTGAGCTGCTCCATCCCATGTCCCTCCCACAGCTGGACTCCTACCTGCTCTGCATGTCCTACCAGGAGCCTCAGCTCTGGGCCGGTGATAACCAGGGCCTGCTGCACGTCTTCGCCAACCGCAACGGCTGCTTCCAGCTTGTCCGGGTCTGCCAAGGCCCCTGCTCCTGCCCAACCCTCCCTGGGCTGCCTCCCTACCTCTTAACCCCTGGGTGGCGGTGGGGACTGGCCTTGGGAGAGCCACGCCTGAGTGTCATCTGTCCTTCCCTCCCGTAGTCCTTTGATGTGGGCCACAGGTCTCAGATCACAGGGATCAAACACTCCCTGGGGGCCCTGTACACCACGTCCACCGACAAGACTATTCGGGTAAGACCCCAGGACAGTGCCCCCTCACTACCCACCCTCACCTGCCGGGAGCACACTCTTGACCTTTGCCCGTCACCCCTCACCAGGTGCATGTGCCCACAGACCCACCAAGGACCATCTGCACTCGAAGCCACCACAATGTGCTGAATGGGGTAAGGCCCTGTCCCATACACCCTGCCTGGCTGCCCAGAGCACCCCTGACTCCTCATGTCCCCACCCTCCCAGATCTGTGCTGAGGGCAACCTGGTGGTGGCTGCCTCTGGGGGCCTGTCGCTGGAGGTCTGGAGGCTGCAGGCCTGAGCTGGCGGACATGGCTGTGGATGTGGATCTGCCGGCCCGCAGGCCGTGGCCTCTGTTCTTGGGGGACCTTCCCCCATGCTGGTGCTGCCTCTGCCCCACCCCACAGGCCTAGGGCACAAGGGTCCTGGCCACGGTCGGGTGGGATCCCCAGGCTGGCTGGGGAGGTGAGGTTTGTGTTCCGGCCCACCCAGGGGGCTGCTCCCCACCCTCCGCTGTTTTTGTTATGATTTGGATGCTTGCTCTCACTTGAAAGCAAAGGAGAAATAAACCTGATATACTGGTGCTCCGGCCAGGAGTGTGAGCTTGGTGTCACCCCAGGGCTCTGCCCGAGCCTGCCTGGGGCTGCGATGCTGAGGACATCCATGTGTCTGTGAGACGGTGCATGAAAACCTAGGTGACAGCCACTGCTGTGTGAGTCTGGGTGCATTTTGGGGATCAGGTGTGCCTGCGTGTCCCCAGGGAGGTCGGTCTGGCTGTGAGTCATTACTGTATCCCTGTTTGTGTGCCCGTGAGTGTGCACATCCGTGAGGAATCGGGAGACACCTGAGGACGAGGCACCTGCCTGTATGACAGCACCTGTGTGCAAACCACATGGGTGTGGATGCGTGTGACTCATGCTGGCGTGTAGCTTAGGACTCTGACCCTAGGTGTGTGCTTGTGCAGTGGGAGGGGGGATTGGCTAATGCCAGGGCGGGGACGGGGTTGCAGGGAGGGATGTGTGTGCTCTTCTGTCCAGCATCCGGGGAGTGTGTGCCACTGTGGCCGTGGCAGGGAGGGGAGGCTGGGCCAGGTACACACCTGGCCCCCACAAGCCCAAAGTCCCCCTTTGCCCCTCACTACAGCCCGGCCAAGCCACGCCCTGAGGAGCATTCACTTCATGTTTATTGAGGCCCCCTGGGTGGTCAGGATGGGGTCATAGGATGGCACAGGGCTTCTTCTTGAAGGGGTTGGTGGCAGCCGGGATGCCCACGAGGAAGGGGTCGCTCTTGGCCTGCTCCATGCAGAACTGCAGCAGGTCAGTGGTGGCCTTGGACATCTGCAGGCCAGCCCAGTTAGCCAGACCTGGGCTGGGCTGTCCACCCGCCACCTCCCTCGGACGTGCCCACCTCACCCTGACCTTCACCTTCACGCGATCAATGCCTGCTTCCATCCGCAGCTGCTCCATGGCCCGGCAGGCCTGCCCGATGTCGCTGCCAGTGGTCACTTTGCCAGACATCTGGGGGAGGGTGAGCAGAGCCACAGACAGCAGGCTGAACCCCAAACCCTTGGCTTCCACACCTCCTCCTGTGTGCCCTGGGGGCCGAGGGATGGGGGTGGCTGTTCCCCACCCCTGGCAGGATGACACACCTCAGTTGAGGACTCCGGCTGACTCCTGCCACTCAGTCCTCCTCCTGCAGCCCCACTCTGGCTCCCTCCTCCACTGGCCTGGCCCCTCCAACCCCCTCCTCTCCCTCCCTCACCCCTGCAGAGACTTTGAAGCCAGGGTGCTCGTGGAGTGAAATGTCACGAGCAGCAGCAGCAGCTGTGGAGGCTGAGGGGGTCCCTGCCCCAGGAGGCCCAGTGGCTGCCCTGGTGTCATGTGTCACCTTCGCTGGGGGAGTGTGGGGGCCCTGGCCTCTCACTGACCTGCTTGATCCCCTGCTAACTGGCCTCCACACTCCTCCTTTGCCAGCCTCTGCCCCTGCTCCAATATGCAGAGGTGCAGCGCAGACCCTGGTTTGGGTGCAGCGCTGCCTCTCCTCTCTCTACCTACCCTCACTGCCGAGGAATCTTATCCACAGGCGACTCAATCCCTCATGTATGTGGATGGCTTCCCCTGCCTCATCTCAGCCCCTTCCCTGATCTCAGACCCACCTGGGGACCCTCCTCCCTCCTCAGTTCATCACACCCATCTCTGGTTTGTGTCTTAGATCACTTGGCTGTACTCTGGGTCATCTTTCCCAAAATCTTCCCTCAGATTCACCACTATCCGCCCAACTGCCCTGGCTCAAATCTTTAACTCCTTCATTCCTTTCTTTCCACTATTCCTACATCTAATCCTTCCACAAGAGCCATCAGATCAACCTTCAAATTAGGTTGTTAATCTGGTCACTTCTTTTCACCCTGTTGGTAGCATCTGGGTCCATCCCTCGGCCCCTCGCAATCTCAGCTTGGCCTGGACCCAGGCAGTCGCCTGGTCTCCCCTGCCCTGCACATCCCCTACCCCTGTTCTCCTCAAGTCAGCCAGTGAGATCTGTTAAATAAATCACATTACAATGTGGATGAATCTTGAGGACATTATGCTAAGTGAAGTAAGCCAGTCACAAAACGACAGAAAGGGTATGATTCGAGGTACCTAGAGTAGTTAAATCTATAGTGACAGAAAGTAGAATGGGGTTTGTTGGGGGCTGAGGGGAGTGGGGACGGAGGTAGTGTTTGATGCGCACAAATTTTCAGTCTAGGAAGATGAAAACATCCTGGAGGTGGATGGTAGTGATGGTTGTATAACAGTGTGAATGTACTTAATGCTTCTGAACTGTGCACTTAAAAATGGTTATTGTGCAAGTTTTATGTTCTGTGTATCTTACCACAATAACAAAATTAGAGGAGGGATGTATAGCTCAGTGTAGAGCACGTGCGTAGCATGCACAAGGTCCTGGGTTCAATCTCCAGTACCTCTATTAAAATAAATAAGTAAATAAAAACTTAATTACTTCCCTGCCAAAATATAAACAAAATTGGAAACAATAAATCAGAATCTTTCAGTCCATTTTTAAAACTCTCCTACGGTTCCTATGGTTTCCCAGCCTCTTAGAATAAAATTCACCCTCCTTAGACAGCCCACAGGACCTGTCTGGTCTGGCACCTTCTGTCCTCTGTGAATTCATTTCTTCTCAACCCCTCCCTCCTTTGTTCTTCATGGATCACGCTGACATCTTTGGGTGTGTTCATCCATTTCTGCCAAAATCCCTATTTGTGCCTGACACTGTGCAGAGTAAAAGGAATAGCAGTGGAACCAGACAAAAACCCTGCCCTCACAGAGCTGCTGTGCTAGTCAGGGAGGAGCAAACAATAGCAAACAAAATATATTAAGTGCTGTGAAAGACAAAAGCAAGGTCAGAGTGAGAGCAAGTGGTCAAGGCAGGCCTCCTAGAGGCCGTGACATACGGACTGAGGCCCAGAGGAGCAGGAGCTGGGGAAGTGGGTGCCCCAGGCAAAGAGCATGGCAGCGGCATCGCCCCTTGGCCAGGAAAGAGCTTGGTGGATTCTAGAACACCTGGATATAAACAGCAAATCTTGTTGTACACCCGAAACTAATATAATGTTATTATAATATAATGTCAACTATATTTCAATTTTTAAAAAAAGAGGAAAAAGCACTTGAATTTGAGACCTATTCTGCAAGTAGAATGAGGCAGGCTGAGAGATGGATGTGGCGTGTGAGAGGAGGGGGAGACATCAGGCTCAACTCCCCTGCTAGATGAGTGGAGGGTAGGGCTGTTTGCTGAGATGTGGAAGATGCAGGAAGATCAGGGTGAGCTGGAGAGGGAACTGAGGTGGTGAGTCTGAGATCCAAGTGGGGACTGTCAGGGAGGATGTTCTGTTCCTCTAATTAAGTAGGCTCAGTTCCAGCCTCAGGGCCTTGGCATTGGCTGTTTTCTCTCCCAGTGGGGGACCGCAGGGGAATGGCCTCCCAGAGATCATCACATAGGGGGCCTTTCTTGGTCTTCTGGCCTTGGCTCAAATATCACCTCCTTGGGGGTCTTTCCCAAACCACCTCTCCCTCCAAATAAAACCACCAACTCCTCCACCCACCCCACCCCAAAGACTCTCACGTCAGTCTGTTTAAATCATAAATAGCACTTACCACTCTTACCCTTCCAGCTCCCTAAACTGTGGGCTCCAGAAGAGCAGGGTCTGCATCTTGTTCGCTGATAAATTTGCAGCACCCAGCACAGAGTCCGAAGTATAGTCTAGACTCTGTAAACTGCAGAGTGAGTGATTAAAGCAGCCCTCTCGGGACCAGACCCTATGCGTGGTGAGGAGGACCAATGAGATACAGACTCCATCCTCTAGGATCTCACAATCTTGCTGGAGTTAAAGAAATGTCAGTCCTGGATCCCATAGGAGGTCCCTTACCCAGAGAATGGCCAGGGAAGACTTCCCAGAGGAGGTGACAGCAGCAATTCCTGGATGAAAGAAGACCAAAGGATTATGCATCATGTGGAGGCTCTGGAGACTTGCAAGACACGAATGAGGATCACCATCCCATTTGACGAGAGAAGCTCAGAAGCAGAAACTATCTAATACTTCCTGAGGATTCGAATTCTGTCCAAGAAGCCATCCTCTCTCTAGAATAGCTTTGTAAGCCGTCTAAGAAGCCATCCACTTTCTAAGAGCACAGAAACGAACCGGCAAGAGCCACGCAATGCGATGGATCTCCAGCAGGCGGCAGTGAAAGTAAGAATCTTCATTCATCTGAGACTGAAAACACGCGAAACAGGAAATACCGGCTCCTCGCGGCTTCCGTATTACGGAATACAAAGCAAAGATGGCCGCGCCCTGGACTCGGGGCGTCAGCGGGTCATGTGACTATACGACTTCCGGTCCTCCTCCGGTTTTCCCCAGCCGGACGCTCTCCTGCAGAAGTGCGTGCTGGGGCTTAACGGGTTTCGATGCCGCAGGAGGCCGCAGGAGGCCGCAGGAGGCCTGGCCTGGGGCGGCTCTGATTTGAGACTGCGGCCGCAGGAGCATGGAGGGTCCCCTAGAAAGGGAGGCGCCCGCGGCGGCGCTGGCCGCCGTGTTGAAGCACAGCTCGGCTCTGCCGTCCGAGAGCGCCCAGGTCCGGGGCTACGACTTCAACCGCGGCGTGGACTACCGCGCACTGCTGGAGGCCTTCGGCACCACTGGTTTCCAGGCTACCAACTTCGGGCGCGCGGTGCAGCAAGTCAACGCTATGGTGAGGCTTGGGAGGGTTTCCGGAGTTGAGGGGGTGTGGCCTCCAGTAGCACCTTGCTGCACTTGGGGGCGGGACTTCCCTGGGGAGAAGAGGGCGTGTTCTTCATCTCATACTTGGAGAGTGGTGGGGTCCCTCCTGGGCGGGATTTTCAGTGCTGGGAAACGGACGTTGCCCCCCCCCCCCGCCCCATGGTGACATCCAGTATCAGGAGTCGGTTGGGACTTATCTAGATATGGGGCGCGTTTTAGGCAGCGTGTGAGAGTTCTGGAATGGGCAGAGCCTGGGGCAAGACCTTGCGGTTGTGGGAGAACTTGGAGGACCCTATGTCAGGGCGGGACCTGAGCTTCGATTTGTCCTTCCCAGTGGGTGGAGGGGTCGGGCCTGCAAAAGTGTTGCTCTCCAATTCCTGAAAGGGGGCAGAGCCTGAGCGTGTGACCTAAGAGTTGGGCTGTGAACATGGCGGAGCCTGCATAGGGGTGTGCGTTCTCTGGTTCCAGGTAGAAGTAGTCTCATATTCCTGAGTGGGCAGGGTCTGGAGGTGGAGTCTCACTGTGAAACCACCTGGGGTCCTTGGGCTGGAGTTTGGGGCCTGACCTTAACTCAACCCTGTCTTTCCACCTAGATTGAGAAGAAACTGGAGCCGCTGTCGCAGGATGAAGACCAGCATGCAGACCTGACCCAGAGCTGCCGCCCACTCACCGGCTGCACCATTTTTCTTGGCTACACATCGAACCTCATCAGTTCAGGCATCCGGGAGACCATCCGTTACCTCGTGCAGCACAACATGGTGGGGGCCTAGTAGGGTTGTGGCCTTGGCCTCTCTGGGTCTTAACCGGCAATAAGATAATTGGTCATTTAAGTGACATGGGGAGAAATGGGTCAGTTTTATTTTGCAGCAGAGCTCCGCACAAGGGTCACTGGATGAGAGTTGAGAGTCTTGCCTGGGATGAGGGCAGGGTTCCCCTTCTTGGGCCAACCTCACTGCCTTGTGGCTGCAGGTGGACGTCTTGGTGACCACGGCTGGGGGTGTGGAGGAGGATCTCATCAAGTGCCTGGCACCTACATACCTGGGCGAGTTCAGCCTCAGGGGGAAGGAGCTACGTGAGAATGGGATCAACAGGTGAGGGGCCTCAAGTGGCTCTGGGTAGGGGAGCCAGGCTGAGGGGCCTGGGCCCTGTTGCCCACATGCCTTCTGTCCCCAGGATTGGAAACCTGCTGGTGCCCAATGACAATTACTGCAAGTTTGAGGACTGGCTGATGCCCATTCTGGACCAGATGGTGCTGGAGCAGAACACAGAGGTGAGGCTGGAGTAACCTGGGGGGCTGGCATGGTGGGAGTCAGAGGAGGTGCTGCTGGCTGAAGCTGATGTCTCCTCCTAGGGCGTGAAGTGGACACCTTCCAAGATGATCGCTCGGCTTGGCAAGGAGATAAACAACCCAGAGTCAGTGTATTACTGGGCCCAGAAGGTGAGGGGCTGGGAGGGGGCAAAGATGCCAGACTTTGGCGCGTGTTAACTTGTTTAATCTACATAGCCACCTAGGGAGTTGGTACTGTTCTCATCAGCCCCACTCCTGGATGAGAAACCTCAGAAACAAAATGGTTGGACAGTTTGTCTGAGATCTCAAAGCTACTGAGTGTGGTCCTGGTATCCTGGCTCTACTCCTAGACTACCTAGAAGCAGCTGGGGCCGTGCTTAGCATCCCCATGGGGCCTGGTATAGGGTCAGAGGCTGTGGGATCCAGCAATCAGAAAAACAACCGGAGCTGCCATTCTTTCTGTGCCAGGTACATTCTTTATGTGTACGTGTGTGTTTTCTCACACGTGCCTCCTCATCTGTGAGGGAGGTGCTACTGCTGTCCCCATTTTACAGTGAGCAACCTGAGGTCCAGAGAAGTTAAACACCCCGCCTAGAATCAGGCAGCGGGAATGCCCCCAGGCTGCCCCCCCCCCCCGGGCCTCCTGAGCTAGAGCCGCTCTCTTGTCTTGCTCTCTTTCAGAACCACATCCCTGTGTTAAGCCCAGCACTCACAGATGGCTCGCTGGGTGACATGATCTTCTTCCATTCCTATAAGAACCCAGGCTTGGTCCTGGACATCGTTGAAGGTGAGGTGCTGGGGCTGCAGAGGAGCAGGGAGGGGCTGCCAGGGCCTGAGGCCTGACACAGCCCACTTTCCCAGACCTGAGGCTCATCAATACACAGGCCATCTTCGCCAAGCGCTCTGGGATGATCATTCTGGGCGGTGGCATGGTCAAGCACCACATCGCCAATGCCAACCTCATGGTGAGCAGGGACAGAGTGTGTGTAGTTCCTTTTGGGGGTGGCACTGGGCCTGCCATGCAGACAGGCCTGCGTACTAGGCCTGTGCCATGTGCGGGGGAAGCAGCCATGGACCATCCCTGCCCTCCTGGAAGTGATGTTCCAGTGAGGAGACTGACAGCAAACAGGTGACCTGCACATTAGGTGGCAGCTATTGCTGTGGAGGAAAACAAGGAAGGATGACGAGACGGTAAGAGAAAGGGGCGCTGTTCAAAAAAGGGAACCCTTCCTGGGACGTGTGACCTGTAAGCAGAGATCTTCATGGAGGTGCTCCCATGAGCCATGTGGCTATCTTGGGGGGAGATAAGAGTTCCTGGCAGAGGAACCAGTCAGTGCAAAGGTTCTGAGGTGCCTGAAATAAGTCAAGGACAGCCAGAAGGCTAGTGAAGGAGAGAGTGGGAGGAGGTGAGATGGGAGGTGACCAGCACAAAGCACAGGGCCTCGAGGGCCACTCAGGTGCTCATGGCTGCCCTCTGGCTGCTGTAGGGGGAACAAATGGTGGTACCAGGGTAGGGGCCCTAGAGAGGGGAGAGGTAGTTGGGTTTGGAGGTTTTTCTGTAGAGTTGGAGGGTTGTTGCTACCCAGCAGCAACGTTGCCCATTGTCTGTCCTGCAACCCCCAACCCCTCACACTCTGCCCAGGTGCTGACACCGGGCCCTTCCCTTGGAGTAGAGGGGCCACCAAGGGCTTCTTTTATCTGGGACACACTCTTTAGCTTGTAGCTACAGTGCCCCGCCTCGGAGTCTGTCTGACTGGCTGACCAGCCCACCCTGCCCCTACCCACAGCGGAACGGGGCTGACTATGCCGTCTACATCAACACGGCCCAGGAGTTTGATGGCTCTGACTCTGGTGCCCGGCCAGACGAAGCTGTCTCTTGGGGCAAGATCCGGGTGGACGCACAGCCTGTCAAGGTGAGTGCCGGCCAGCCAGCGGGGGTGCAGGGTCTCCCAGGCTGTGGCCATGGGTCGCACGGCTCACCTGGGTCCCCTCCACAGGTCTATGCAGATGCCTCCCTGGTCTTCCCGCTGCTTGTGGCTGAAACCTTTGCCCAGAAGGTAGATGCCTTCACACCTGAGAAGAACGAGGACTGAACACTGGATGGCTTCAGCCTCACTCCCTCCTCTATTTATTAGTGTGCAGACCCAGCCTCTCCCTACTCCTTGGTCAGCAGGAAGTCTAGAATAAAGGGTTTCAGTGGTCCTTCTCAGTCTGTGTCTTTCTTTCTGTCCTTGGTTGTGGGTCCCCTGGCTTCAGCCTGTACCACCTTCAGCCTCGTAGGCCTCTTCCCGCCAGCACTGGACGCTGCCCCCCATGGCGGTCAGCAGGCAGGGCTCGGTGGGGTGGTAGGCCAGCGACTGCACCACACCTGGCCCAACAGGCAGGGCCAGTGCTAGGGCACCCTGTGGAGTAAGGGGGTAGAGGGTAGTCGTCAGTGTGTCTCCATTTGTCCCCTTAGTTGCCTCTTCCCCGCTTTCAGCCACATGCCTCTAATTGTTTCTGAGACACTGCAAACTGAATCCGCCCCAAACTGAGTCCCTCAGTCACTTGGTCCTGCTGGGTGCTAGGCCAGACATCTCGAATGTTTCTCTTCCACCTCACATCCCTTTGTCAGTAAGTCCTCTTGGTTCTGCCCTTAGACCATGCCAGAGACTTCTCTCCACCTTCACAGCCACCACCCTGCTCTGGTCCAGTCACATTGGCTCCAAGCTTCCCTGCCCCTGCTGCCATCCACTTGACAGCCTCGCTACTCACTTCCTCCATCACCCTGCAGGCACAGCTCAACATACACAGTTCCTCTTTCCACCTGGAAAAGGTCCCTTCATGTGCCCTCCCCTTCAGGGTGACTCTTAGCCTACTGGACCCTTGAGAAGTAGGCAGAACATTGGCGCTTTCTTAGCTTCCAGAATGAGAGCTGGCCCCTCAACTCTTCAGGGCCCCCCAGTTCCTTCCCTCCTCCTCCCTCCCTGGCCAAGCCCCAGCCCTGACACCACTAATCCCCAACAGTCAGTTCCCAGCCTGACGCCCCCACCAGGTTGGGACACATCAGGGAACACAGGCCTTGAGGCTGGAAGCCACAGAGATGCTTAGAGGTAAGTCAGGTTTCCTGAACTACAGCCCCGGCTCACCTGGGATCAGATGCCACCATCAGCTCCCCCTCCCCCAGGGTCAGTCCTAGTGGCTCAGCATGGCATCCGTGGCCCTGCCTGACCTGGATCCTGCTGCTGTTGCTGCCTTCCAAAGTGCTTCTCCTCCCTGACCAATGCGTTTGGACCCCACCTCCAAGCCTTAGCACATGTGGTGCCCTTTGCGAGGAACGCCCTTCTTGCCTTGTCCTCTCACTCCTCCTTCGAGCCCCCAGTTCTAACCACACTCCCTTTTTCAGGCCCGGGAGTGACTCAGGTAAGGACAGGGCAGGCACCCCATTGTGGAGCCGGGGTGGGGAGGCTCACCTCCACCAGGTCCCAGAAGAACACCTTCCCATCCTCGGAGCAGCTGACCACATGCGTGTCGCGCTCATTCAGGCAGCAGTCCAGCTTGTACTCCTGGTTCTTGTGGCCTGTGTACCTGGGGGTGGGTGGGATCAGGGGGCTGGTTTGGGGCCTTATGGGGGGATGGGGCAGGGGCCCCATGACCCCGAGGACTCACTCGCCTAGCAGCTCCCCTGTGTCCTTGTCTAGAAGCCTCAACGTGGAGTCCAGGCTGGACACCAGGGTGCACTGCCCGTCCCGGCTGAAGCAGGTGCAGGTGATGGGGCCTGGGGAGGTGGGTGGGGGAGGGATGGGCAGACAGGTCAGGCTGGGGTCTCCTGTGCTGCCTCCACCTTCCCTACCTGCCCCACAGCTGCAGCCCCAGCCCCACTCACTGCCCACATAGTCTGAGAAGAGCTGCCCCATCCTCAGGTCATAGCGCCTCACCCGGCCATCCACGGAGCTGCAAAAGAAGATGGATCCAGATGAAGCATCGACAGGGGCCAGGAGGTCCATGGCTCCAGCTTTGGTGTCCATGTACCCTCACCTGGCCAGGGTCCTAAGGGCAAGGCTGGGTGCCTACTCTTCCTGGGCACCCTTCACTGTCATGACATGCTCAGGACTGGCCGTGGAAAACACACATTGAAGAGAATTCACAAGTGGAATTCTGAGGTACCAGCTTTGAGACTCAGACCCAGGGGCCAATCAGGTGCCATTCCATCTGTTTCTTTCTTGGGGGAGGGGGGAGGGAGGAATGTATGTATGTATTTATCTATCTATTTATTTTAATGGAGGTACTGGCGATTGAACCCAGGACCTCGTGTATGCTAAGCATGTGCTCTACCACGGAGCTATACCCTCCCCCTGGTTCCATCTGTTTCTGATTTGTACTGAGCACCCTCTCTGGGCCAGTCCCCATGTGGGGCTTGGGACACAGCTGCTACCAAGCCCAGAGCACTTGCTGCCAATATGGAGCCTTGTGGACTGAGGGTAATCGTTTCCCAGAGGAGGTGATGTCTGAATTGGGACTTGAGGATGAGAAGGAGCCAACCATGTGCAGTCCAAGGGGGAATGGGTGGGAACTGGACCCGCCAACAGGTTGCCGCAGCCCAAACACGACATCCCCATGGTGGGAACAGCCCTCCCCCAGGTTGTGGCAACACTTGGTCAGTCGTGCATGGGAATTTTTGTTTTTAATTGTTTGTCTCCTGCAGCTAAAATATCAACTCTATGGGAGCAGGGACATTTCTTTATTTCCCTGACTCATTCACTGCTGTATGTATGCTCATCAACTAAAAACGTGACCTGCAGGAGGCGCTCAGATACATTCTGAGTAAGCAGTTAAAGAACGGTCCAGGCAGAGGAAGAGCAATTGCTAAAGTAGGTGCTGGGGTGGGAGCATGGATGGCAGATTTAACAGAAATGAGGCTGGGAGTGACACATGGGGAGGGACAAGGTCCTGGCCGCACTCACCCTGCCAGGACCTCATGGTCTGACACCTTCACACTGGATATGCCATCCCTGGCTTCGTCCAGGGTCTGTACTGGTTCAGGCCTCCGAGAGCGGCAGTCCCAGCAGCGGATGCTGGAATCGATAGAGCCTGTAGGGCCAGCATGAAGGTGGATCAAGTTTGGGAGGCAGAGGCAGCACCCTGGGCCCACCTGCCTAGGCTGCAGACTCACCAGACAGAATAACTGTAGCCTCTTCATTAAACTGCACTGTGTTCACCTTCTGTGAAACAGAAACTGCTGCTTAGAGAAGGCTGGATTTTGGAGGATGGGGATACAGGCAGGATTCCCAGTGCAAGTTAAAGTGAGAGAAAAGGCTAGGGGTAGAGGAGATGAAATATTTGGGGGGAACTGCAAGCCAGGGCTTGGTGAATGCGGGGCCATGTTGGGAAGGCGGAAGATCCTTGCGCTGTAATGGTAAAGGGCGTAGTCCCTGTCACAACCTACACGCAAATAGGGGTCCGTTCTAATGAGGCGCCTTCTTGCTTGCACTCACCCCTGCGTGGCCCCGGAATTTGCGCACCACCTGCCCCGATGCTACATCCCACAGCACTACCGCTTTGTCCCCGCCGCCGGAGCAGAGACTGCTGTTGTCAAAGGAGCTAAAAGGCAGAGGAAGAAAAGTCAGCGTCGACCTCCGATCCCGGCCTCAGCGCCCTGATCCCCGCCTGGCCCCCGGCTCACCCGGCCGCGTCCAGCACCTCGTAGCCGTGGCCGCTGTACGTCCGCAGCAGCGTCCCCCGCAGCGGGTTCCACAGTTTCAGGGTCTTGTCGCTGCCGCAGGTCAGACAGTAATTGCCATCCACTGGGGAACACCGGGCGGGGGTTACTGGATCGCCGACCGCGGGAGGTGGACCCGGAATGAAAATAAGGGCGCTCACCATTAAATCGCACGGCTCGCACCGCCCCCTGCCCGCAGTCCAACGTCTTCAACCGTTTCTGCGGCAGCTCCGGGGCCCGCGGCTTTGGCTCAGGGAAAGCCATTGCTCCGCGCACCCTTCCTCGCTGCCTGATTTCTGCCTGCACCGAGGATTTCCATGCGCTGGAAACTCCTGCTTGAGTGTAACCTTATTATTGTCCTCCATAGCCTACTTCCTATTTCTCACTTCCGGGTTCGAAATTTCGTTTTTTTTGGAGATAATGCTGGCAATACTGAAGCTTGCTTCCAGCTTCCTAGTTTCTTTTCCCACTTCTCATTTCTAGGAACATTTTTGGCTTCTAGTTCTCTGTCCCCTGGCTCGGGGGCGTTCCAGCCTCCGCCCGCAGGAACGGAAACACGAGGGCTGAGGGTGTTACTCTAAAAGCCACCGTTTCCACGCCGGAAGCTGTCGGAAGCTGTGACTCTCGCAGCGGAAGAGCCACGGCTTCTGACTCGCTATGTCCGCGAACAATATGTCGGACCCACGGAGGCCCAACAAAGTGCTGAGGTGAGGATCCTAGTTGTCATGGTGTTAAAAAAACAAAATTCCAGTGTAAATTTTAAAGATATAATCGGCTTTATCAAATGATTCATGAATTGGGCAGCATCAATCTAGAAAGTAGAGGGGAGCTCTAAAGGGCTTCAGAAAGGGAAAGATTTTTAAAGGCAGGACAAGGAAGACATACACAGAAAAAGGGATTGTTTCCCGTTTGGGGAAAAAAGTTCTTATTAGGTGGGATTACCTCCTCTTGCCTTTAGGGGATAGCGAGGGGAGAGGGTCCATGTGACAGCCTACCTCTTTGTTACTGATCAGAAAATTCCCGACTGACCAGTTCAGACTACATTTCTGGAGGAGGCTGACGCTTCAATTAGGTTAGGTTTAATTAAGCCCCACTTTGATGGCATAGCCTAGCGTAAGTGACTCCATTTTGGGCCTGTGGTTTTCCTTTTAATAATGGCCTCTTTTCATCAGACTCTCAGCTTAACTGATAGATGTGATCAAAACTTAAGGCATTAGCACCAGTCTAAGCTACTGCCCTGAGTTTCTCGTGGTTTTTGTTGTTCTTTTGCATGGTATCTATAGGTTATGATGTTTTTGCTTAACCCTTGTGATATTCAGAGGTCCTGGCTGGCTTCAGGTTCACAGTCTTTAAGTCGGTCATTCTCTTGTTCCTTTTCTGATGTTCTAGTGTTAGGGAAAGCTTTTATTTGGTGGTTAGCGGCTGTGAACATGTATTTAAAGCTCTTGAGAGAGTACAGCACACCAGGGAGATTATTATGATGATAATCAACAGGATAATTCACAATGTTTGGAGGGCACTTTGGAGCCATGGTCCTCAGGACCCTAACCAGTCACAATTGAATATGTCAAAGAAAGATCCCATTGAAGGAGTCAACCTTCTTAAACCAACTGGCTTGCTCAGTGCTCTTATGTAATTGAGTTTCAACTTCTCTTGAAGGGTTAATCCAGGTGTAGCAGGTGGTGTTGGCCACGGCACAGACTCCTTGCTCAGCTAAAAGATAATCAAGGACTATCCTATTACAAAGCACAACTTTGGCCAGAGAAGCTAAGGATCTTTCTTAGGCTGATGGCCCTAAGTAAATTCTGAGTCATGAAATTCTCCTCATAGGTCCTTTCTAACTCAGTGATGTAAATCCAGGGGAGTTGACCAATGAAATGTCTTAGTTTACTTGTGGAAAGTTAGGGGCACAGTTAGATAAACTAAGAGGCATTCAGAGGCCCAAGGAAAATGATAATCGTCACGGACAAAGACAAACCCCTTATGGGCATAGACTATTCCCGTTAAGGAGGTACCATTAATGGATTCATTCATAGGGATTACTGCATGTGTCCATTCAAGCCAGGTGTCAGTCAGGTTTTTACAACATATGAAAGAGACTCTTCTAGCCTGAAAGTGTTATTCTAAATGACTCGCAAAGATGGGTGCTGCTGGTGAGATCTATTAGTGAGTGGGAGCAAATCTGATCTAGATTATCATCGGAATGTGCAGGTGGGTGCAAATGCACTAAGATTTTTTAAAGTTTTTTTTCGGGGGGGGAGGTAATTAGGTTTGTTTGTTTAAATGGAGGTATTGGGGACTGAACTCAGTACCTTGTGCATGTTAATTTAAGCACGCACTCTACCACAGAGCTATACCCTCCCCCTTGCAAATGTTCTAAGATTTACTAGGTAATTGTGTATAATTGAGTATGTACAGTTATGATTGAAGAAAGGAAAAAACAAGGCATAGGTTGTTTTGGCCGTAAGAGTTGAACTCTGTAATGTGGAGTTGTACTGAAGTGCCATTCCCTAAGGTTAGATCTGCCGAGGCTTTTACTAACCTTGTGGCTGCAGCTATAACATTAAGACAGTTGGGCTAAGCACTAGCACTGAATCCCATTGTATGCTGTGATAGGCAGCAGGCTGTGTTTATTGCTATATTCTTGTGTGAGCATTCCCCGGAAAGGTCTGATTACCTCTTTTGTGCACAAGTAAGCTGAAAAGTCTTGAACAATTAGTTAGCCCTAGGGCCTGCGGTTTTCCAGTGCTTATTTTAGTCTTACAAAAGTCTGCTCATGTTTATCTGCCAAGGAAGGGGTTCAGGGACTGAAGTTTTAGTAAGTTCATAGCATGGGGAAGCCAACAGAGAAAAATTAGGAACCCATAGTCTATGATAGCCAGTCAGATCTAGAAATCCATGAAGCTGTCCCTTAGTTGTAAGTGTAGGAAGTTCTTGGATTATCCTGATCCTTTTTGAAGATACCTGGATTCCTTCAGCACTTCATTTATGACCTAGGTCATGAACAGTATCTAGAGATAATTGTAATTTTTCCTTGGAGACTCTATATCCCTTTGTCAGTGGAAATAATCAACCAACCTATAGTAAGAATAGAAATTTATTCAGGCCAAACTGAGGACTATAGCCTGGGAGACACAGATTCAAGAAACACCTGAACTGTGTTTTGCCAGACTACAAAATGGGGGAGGCTTATATAGGCAAACACTGCAGTTACGTAGGTTGTTTGTCGAGAATTATAATTGGGGCTGGCAAGAAGTAAAAGTGATTGTTAAGCAGGGATTGGTTGGGGTCCAAAATGGTTGCACAGTCACAAGGCGAGACTTTGAGACCATAAGATTGCAGTTGGCAGCTGCTGACAGATACTATTTTGAGAATACCTGGTGGTATAAATTGAGTTTGATATTGTTCAGAATATTCACGTTCTCCGTGATGCAGGAACATGTCTGAAATTATATCCGCAGTGGCCACCCAGCTCCGTTTGGATACCTGAACCACAGTCTATCTTGTCAGAACAAAGAACAAACATCAAATATGACAGGGACACGTTCTTTCAGGTTTTAAAGAGACAGATTAGCACATACACAGTGAGTCAGCATGACCTTAGTGTCTGGGAAGGGAACCTGATTTGTAAAGGAGTTGATGTATTGGCATCATAGGAATGGGGTAATGAGGGAACATTTATCCCTATCTTCAAAATGGGCATTCTAAATAATCTGATAACTGCGTTCGTTTTGGTTTTTTTTTAATGGTTAAAGCAAATATACAATGTCTGTTTGACAGGCCACAAGACAGGCCTAAATTCTGGTTAGCATAAAGTTCAAGCCCAGTCAGATATTAGCTAGGATGACTTCCCCATACCTCAATATGTGAATATTTCTTCCATCACTTTTCTGCTAACTCTTGCCACAGATAAATGGAATCTTTTATGGATGCCTCTTTGATAACTGAGCACAGCAAGAAGTCTTTCACATATTGTAGAATAGTTGATTTCCCAGGAACTAGATCGTGCTTACATCTTGTTGGAGCACTTGGGAGAAATAAGAAGGGGCCTCAGTGAATCCTTGAGGCGTGACTGTTCAGACGTACTGTTGATTGTTTCACGTAAAGGCAGACATGTCAGCTGCTGGGGTCTGCAGCCGTGCTGAAAAAGGCTGAACAAAAGTCTACAACAGTGAACCATTGTAAGTCTGGTGAAACTTGTGACAAAAGGAGATTCCAGGTTTGGGACAGCTGGGAAACGGGGAGTAACTATCTCAACAGCTCTTAAGTGCTCGACAAATCGCTGTCCTCGCCCATTAGGTTTCCAGACTGGCAGGATCTGTGTGTTGGGCCTGATTGCCCTCTGGGAGATTAGGTCTTCTGCTGCGGTTATGAGGCCTTGTGGGCTTTCAGTTTTAGTGGGTATTGAAGTAATTGAGGGAGAGGTGTCATCATGTCTCTCTGAATCTTTATAGGCTCTGTACTTTTTATTCTCTCAATGTCAGTATTAGAAGTAACCCCCAGATTCTGGGGCACCTCAACTAAATTAGGGTACTTTTGTCGGATGTCTTCCTCTTCTATGTCAAGGACAGATCGTAAGAACATAAAATTTCCTGACCAACCTGAACCTGTCTTTTAAGGTGAGGTCTCCATTGGAACAAAATTTATTAGCCATTTTAACTTAGAGAGGAGAGCTCTGCTTCACAGGTTACCAGGGCTATGTCACACAGCAAAAAAGACTGCTTTTCAGAAAAGGGCCCAGAGTCCTTTGTACTGGTTGAGACAGAAATTCTCTCTGAACTTTAATAGATACTCCCACTAAGGAAACCGCTTTTTCACGCTGAAGGACTTGTTGTCCTATGAGAGTGGGGTTTAAAGTAGACAGTGTAGCCCAGTATCAACTAGAATTTGGCAAGGTTTCCCATTAATTTTAATTTTAGTTTCCCCTTGGCTGTTTAAGAGAATTACTGATAACAGGTTATTGGAGAGCTCCTTAGAATACTGGGTGGGGGGTAAATATGGGCACACTCAAGTTGAAGAATTTGCATAAGACCTTTGAGGACAATCTTTTCTCCAGTGGCCCAGTTGATTACATGTGGGACATTGGTCCCTGGGCCAGTGTTTTGATGGTGGACCCCGAGGAGGGCATTATTTTAGGTCTGTGGTCTTGGAGCTGTTGTAGCTGTAAGGCCAACAGCTTGGTGGGTTTTTGCCTGTGGTCGTGCTCTAAGGTCATTTCAGAGTGCTCAGCTATGGTTACTAGCTGAGTCATACTGGTGGTCTCCCATTCTGTTGTCTGCCTTTTTATCAGTCCACTAATCTCAGGAGGTAATCTATTTGCAAATAGGGCAGCCAGAGCAGGTTGGACGACTCCATTTATTATATGGAACTACAATGACATAGGAGGAGGACTTCCAAGCATGCGTTAAATTTGGCCAGATTTATCTTTGGTTTGCATGTTTGAATAATAGACCAATCAGTGGGGGTAGGGAAGACTCCAGGAATGGCTTCTAAAAGGCCAGTTACTGTTTTGTTAGCTTTTCTGGTTGAGGATCTTGAATATCACCCTCTGGGTTTTGCCATTTTGCTTTCTGCATCTGTTTTTGGGCTTCACTGGGTCCTACCAGCATGTGCACAAGCTGATAAAGACGTCGCAGCCTGGATCGGAGGCCCTGATAATGACTCTCAATTCTTCAAAAGAACTTTTGAGATTCCTCCCTAGGCTCAGTTAATTAACTTTTTTTCTTTGTTTTGGCTGGGGGCAGTAATTAGATTTATTTATTTTTAGAGGAGGTACTGGGAATTGAACCCAGGGCCTTGTGCATGCTAAGCATGCACTCTGCCACTTGAGCTACACCCTCCCGACCTCCCTAGGTTTAGGAAATGCCTTAACTTAGTTGGTCTTTGACTCTTCGTTTGGTCTTTAATCAAAGAGTGAAAGATACCCAAGGAGGTTCATCTGCAACCTCAGGTAGTCCCTTCAGAGTGGAAAGGCAGTTCAGAAAGAGAATCATTAAAATGTGAATAAAAGGAGGAGAGAGGGGAGCAACAGGAGTCACGTCAGTCCTATCCTCTTTTGTTTGAGGTCCTTCGTGTTTTTTATTTTTCATTAGCCATTTGTAATCAGTCTTTTAATGGAACTGTTTTGGAATCTTTAAGCCTTGTGGAAACTTCTGCATACCAATTAAAATAGGTATCCCTTTCTGTTTATTTAATTTGGAAACCCTCACTTTCAAGGGCACTTCTTAAATAAACAGTCTGATCTCACTGGGACATTCTCCGTAATGGCCATTTTTTTAGGTATTTACAGCTTCTGGGATTATAGTCATTAGACATAAAATAAGCAGGTGTGCTGACAGGTGGTGCACTTGACTCATTAAAGGTGAAAGCTCTTAACTCTCAGCCTTTATCTGCACAAAGCAAGACAGACAAACGTGTGTACCTGAACACTCCAGCGGTAGCCAATTACTGTGGCCTGGCCAGGAAAAAGGCCTCAAGCGCACCACCACCAGTTGTCAACGTGGAACCTGGGACCCCAAACGGGGACTGTGAACTGATTCCTGACAAATGGGGAACCACAGCTGCTGCCAGTGGTGCCCAGCTCGGAAGCTGGGGAAGGATCCCAAATGGGAAACTGCTGACCAAACCACCAGCAGTTCCCAACCAAGGGCTAGGGGTTTCCAACCAAATGCGGAACTGTGGTCTGAACCACCAGCAGCTCCCAGCGTGGAACTAGTGATACCAGACAAACAGGAAGCTGGCCGGAAAGCCAGTCAGATCGGGAGCTAGACACAAAGAGAACAGAGCTCAGAACTGACAGGAACTTACCCACAGCCCGCAGCAACAGCAAGAAAGACAGTCAACTCAAAAAAGGGTTCTTGGGTACCATGGCCTGTGTTCCTTGTTGTCTCCAAATGCCATCAGAGGTTCACTTTGGATCCTGCCACTGCCACCAAATCTGTTGAAGAAACAAAATTCAACTGAGTACGTTTTAAAGGTCTAATTGGCTCTATTGAAGGATTGATGGCTCAGGCAATGTCCTGTCTAGCAAGTAGAGGGGGCTCTAATGCGCTACAGAAAGGAAAAGGTTTTTAAAGGCAGGAGAAGAATGTCATAAGCAGAAAAAAGGATTGTCTCAGATTAAGTCATCTCCCTTTTGGGGAGAAAAAGGCCTTACTAGGTGGGTAGCACTTCCTTTGGGGCCTTGGAGAGGGCCCATGTGACAGACCACCTCATTGGTGCTGACCAGAAAATTCCTGACTGACCGGTTAAGAATACATTTCCGAGGGAGGCTGAAGCTCCAAGTAGGTTAGGTATTAAGCAAGCCCTGGTTTGGTGGCATGGCCTAGCATAAGTGACTCCATTTTGGGCCTGTGGTTTTCTTTTTAACAATGAGAACAGGCCTCAGGTTGTGGGTTGGGGGCCCAGTGAAGTGCTTGCCCATCTGACGGTGGGGCTTGAGCACCCCTGACCCTGAGCCGGCCACAGGTACAAGCCCCCACCGAGCGAGTGTAACCCAGCCTTGGATGACCCGACGCCAGACTACATGAACCTGCTCGGCATGATCTTCAGCATGTGTGGCCTCATGCTTAAGGTGGGCAGGGTTGAGTTTCCTTCCATATTGCTCTGCCTGACAATGGGGCAAGGGGCGGGTTCACAATGAAGCAGGACCAGCACTGAGAGGGCAGAGCTGGGGTGATGCCAGGTGGAGAAAGCCAGAGCTGTGGGCAAAGCCAGGGGTCTGGGTCAGGGTGGCTACATAGGAAGTGAGTCTGAGGGTGGGGCCAGGCTTCAAAGCAATTTGGAGGGGACTGGTGGAGAAAAGGTGGGGTCCTTAGGGTGATTGGGGGATGTCAAGGGCCAGTCTAATTAGGCCTGAGGGGTCATGGTGGGGTCAGAGATGCAGGACAGGGAGTAAGACCGGAAATCATGAACTTGGAGTCACCTATGGGGGGCTGGGACTGAGGGACTCTTGGGGGTCAAGGTTTGAGCTGCACCAGGTGGAACTGGGGTTGGAACCAGTGCCTGGGAATGGCCTTTGTGGGGGCTCACTGGGGTGCCCCTCACTGACCTAACCCACTCATCCACCTACGCAGCTGAAGTGGTGTGCTTGGGTTGCTGTCTACTGCTCCTTTATCAGCTTTGCCAACTCCCGGAGCTCTGAGGACACTAAGCAGATGATGAGTAGCTTCATGTGAGGCTGGGCCTGGAGTGGGGGCCTCCTGGGTGAGGGGAGGGGGACCCCAAGCCTATCCATCCTGGACTGACATCTCTCTCCCATCTCAGGCTGTCCATCTCTGCCGTGGTGATGTCGTATCTGCAGAACCCTCAGCCCATGACACCCCCCTGGTGATGGCAGCCTAGAAGGGTTACATCCCAGACCCCTCTATCCACCTTGCCCTCAGCCTGGCCCTTGGCTGCTCAGCTTCCTGCCCTCAGCTGAAGTCCTGGGCTCCCCTGGGTAAGGTAGTCTCATGGCCTGCAGCTGGATGGAGGGAACCTGGCCCTGGCCCTGGGATCCCACTTTTGCCGGGGCGGGGTGGGTGGGCAGAGAGGGGAATCCCCTAGGCCTACCCCTCCTGCCTTCCCTTCCCACCCTGCCTGCTGCTGGGGGAGACGCTGTCCATGTTTGTAGGTGTATCCACTCATTTTCCTGTTGAAACCAGTTAATAAAGTTTTGCATTCTGGCTGTTCTCTGTAACTTCTCTCTCCTTCTGTGTATTGTAGGTGTTCCTAGTAGGGAGAAGGGCTCCAGTTCCTCCACTCAGGCCTGGGCTGGGGGCCCCAGTCTGGAACCTTTTTGGTAGTTCATTTATTTCACAAGCCTGGAGCCTAAAGTCAGCTGCCAGAGACAGAACAGTGATCCTTGCCCTCTGGCTGCTCAGCAGATAGCCCTGCTGATCTAAGGAATCTGGGCTTTGGTTTTCTTGTCAGAGGAATGAGGTAATGTCAGCAAATAGGATGGACCTGTAGGGACTAGGAAAGACAGGAGACTGAGTTCTCGCTCACATGTCAGGCTCTCACTCCTCACCGGAAGACACCGGTATCTCTCCCAACAAGACTGGATGCCTCCCCTCCCCAGCACTGTAAGGGCAACTCCTTTACTCAACGTCTCAAACCATAGGACAGAACAGGGCCCCCATTAATCTCTGCTCCTGGCCAATCTAGGTCCCTCACGGACCTCAACCCTGAAGGTCAAAGGAATACTGTAAGATCCTAGACATACTCCACCTCGAAGGCAAACCCAGCACCCGTAGGAAATCTGAGACCTTTACGCCCACGGGGACAATAGGGCATCCAGAGGCCACATGAGACGACTAGACGCTTAAAGTTCCTCTGGCCAAATCGGACGCACCCCGAGGGTGGGGCGCACCTTATCGCCTGTCTGCCCTCCCAGATCCCCCAGCGGTACCGCGAGGCACGGCCGCCGGGGCCTCGTGATGCTCCAGGCCGCGCCCTAGCCCCGCCCCTACCAGCGCCCATTGGCCAAAGAGGGTTCTGGGGGCGGGGCGTTGGCCCCTCCTAGCCGGGCCCGGGAACCCCCTGGAGGCAGTGTGGAGGCAGCAGAGCCATCCATGGGCGCCAACGCGCGGCCTTTGGGGGCCTGTGCTGGCGGCGGCCGGGGCGCGGCGGCGTCCCGGACGAGCTCTTGCGCGCCGTGGCTACCAATACCGCCTCTCTCCTGGCTCTTTTTGTTGTTACTTGCAGCGCCCGGCGCTTGGGCCGCGGGATACCAGGTGAGTGCGGCCCGCGAGCGGAAATGTACACTAGCGCGAGTGAAGCCCCGAGTAGGATCCGGAGGTGTGGGTGGGTCTGTTTCGTGGATGCCTAGTGAATGGTGCCAACATGACAATGTGGCCTGAGTGCATACTTTGTGTCATTGAGAGGTCTGGCTGTGCGTGTCTGAGAATGGGGCTGGTCTGTATCTGCCTGTCTGCTTCTGTGGGTCGGCTTCCTTGGACCCTGCATGCATTTACCTGTGAGGTTGGGTGTGAGGTTAGCAGCTGCATGTGTGGCGGGAAATTGTTAGAGCTGGGAGTCAACTGCTTAAAGTTCCTTCCTGGCTCCCACTTCCTGGCTACGTGACCTTGGCCAAGTCACTTCATCTCTTTGTACCTCACTGTTGTCATCTGAAAACTGGAGATAATATTGCTCCTACCCTGCAGGGTGTCTGCCCGGTATTTGTAAATGCTTCATAAACATTAGCTACTACTATTATTGCCCCAAGATGTGAATGAGAGGTGAGAAGTTGTGCCAGGTGGGAGTTGTCTGTGACACAGCTATGTGTGTCCTCCCTCAGAGGGCCTGGCTCCACCTGAGTCACCTGATTCTAGATCAAGACTTACCTTATGTCCTCCCCAACCCCCATACGGGAGCCTGCCTCTTAACCTTGGGGTTACTGACAGGGTATGTGGGTTTGTGTTTGGGGTCCCTGTGCAGACATGCCCCAGAGTGGAGCCAGACATGCTGAATGTGCACTTGGTGGCCCACACACATGATGATGTGGGCTGGCTAAAGACGGTGGACCAGTACTTTTATGGCAGTGAGTAGAGGACGGGGACTGACTCCTGGGACACCCAGAGCCCCTCTGAGCCCCTCAGATCCTTTCAGGGTCCTGGACGATAGGGTGGGGGCAATGCCCAGCTTGGACTCCTGTGTCTAGGAATGTTCCCCTTGATTTGCTGGTCCCTGACTGCCTGACTTCTGTGCCCACAGTCCAGAATGACGTCCAGCACGCTGGGGTGCAGTACATCCTAGACTCGGTCATCTCTTCCCTGCTGGTGGAGCCCACCCGCCGCTTCATCTATGTGGAAATTGCCTTCTTCTCCCGTTGGTGGCACCAGCAGACAAATGCAACACAGGAAATCGTGCGGAACCTGGTGCGCCAGGGTGAGTCTGCCCTAAGGAAGTGAAAAGAGGAAGCCCAGCACAGCTTCTTTTTCAGCTACCTTGGCTTCCGAGATTTTATCATGCCATGTGCAGCCTGTATGTGGCTGCACCTGCCTGAAATTTCCCCTTATTTGGAAAACTCCTATGCGTCCTGTAAGGCCCCACCTCCAGTAGGTCCTCTGGGAAGTCTGCCATGCTGAGAGGCCTTCTGTTCCATATCTCTCTACACTGGCCTGGGAGTGACCCCTCTTCTCCCAGGCCTGGGCATGCATCTTCTCATTCCCTGCATCACCAGCCCCAGCCTCATTCCTGGCCCTGAAAAATGTTTTGGACTTTACCCCTCCCGGCACAGGACGCTTGGAGTTTGCCAATGGTGGCTGGGTGATGAATGATGAGGCAGCCACCCACTATGGAGCCATCATCGACCAGATGACACTTGGGCTGCGCTTCCTGGAGGACACATTTGGCAGTGACGGTCGCCCCCGTGTGGCCTGGCACATCGACCCCTTCGGCCACTCTCGGGAACAGGCCTCCCTGTTCGCACAGGTACCTCCCTGACCTCTCTTGGGCCTGCCCCTTAATTCCCTCTGACTCCTCCCCCGGCCACTCAATCTCCACCCTTCTCTGCAAGCTCATATGGACCAAACCCTGTCCTTTGGCCCTCTGGTCCCTTGAGATCCTGCCTCTTGGGTGAGCTGTGAATTCCATTTCTTTTCGGCTCTGGCCTTGGCCCTGCTGTGCCCAGCCTAGGATGACCCTACCTCGCCTCCAGTTGGCCCCTCCCTCTCCCTTGACCCCACCCCGTTTGTTATGATCCCTGCTCCTCCCCAAGCTGGGTGGCAGGTAAAGGTCTGCTGTTTCTCAGCCAGCTTCGTTACCTGTGCGGTGACCCCAACCCTTTCCCATGCTTAGGCTGTGGAAGGGGCAAGGGGAAGTGGAGGTGGGTTCTAATGTGGGACCCGCCCCCTCCTGGCTCACCCATAGTGCTTCTAACCCTTCCACGAACTTCGGAATGAACCGGAGGGCTTCCCTAGTTTCAGATCCGGTTTTTCTACCTGTGCTCTGAGGGGGCTGGCGGTTGGTGATGAGGTTGGTGATGAGGGGCTGGCGGTGTGTGATGAGAGGCTGGGCACTTACTCATCCTGCCCTCTCCTGCTCTCCAATCCCACTCCTCATCCCGCCCCTCCTCTAGATGGGCTTTGACGGCTTCTTCTTTGGGCGCCTGGATTATCAAGACAAGAAGGTGCGGAAGAAGAACCTAGAGATGGAGCAGGTGTGGCGGGCTAGTGCCAGCCTGAAGCCCCCTGCCGCCGACCTCTTCACCAGTAAGGGGGTGGCGTGGGGGGGGACAGGGCCAGCCCCAGGCTCAGAAGGGCCCTGGGCTTGTTTTTATAGTCTGCTGCCATTGTCGTGAAATTCTTAATCATTTATGAACAAGGGCTTTGTATTTGCACTTTGCGCTGGGCCCCACAAATTCTGAAGTCCATCCCTGGTAGGGCTGGCAGGTTTGGGGTGTGGGGTCACCCCTGAGCCTGATGCGGGTTTGCAGGTGTGCTCCCCAACAATTACAACCCGCCGGAGAAACTGTGCTGGGACGTACTGTGTGCCGACACCCCCTTTGTGGAGGACCCGAGCAGCCCTGAGTACAACGCCAAGGAGCTGGTCCAATACTTCCTGCAGTTGGCCACTAACCAGGTAACCCCAATGTCCAGAACCTGGTATACATGCACCAGGCCCTTCCCTCGGCCCAGCATTCCCCTCTGAGGAAGGGAGTATTCCATTCACCACCACCAGGCCCTCCTCCTGGATTTGTGTGCATTTCGATTAGAAATGCTGACCCCTTTGCCACCCCACACAACCACCATGATCAGGAGACAGCATGGCATGGTAGGCCCAAGAGAATTAATTACTCAACAGCTTGTAGTTATTTTCCTGTGTGTCCCTCTGCTCCTACATGACACACTTCCACTCCTGCCCCTCAGGACTCTGTGCACCCACACTTTCTTTTTTTTTTTTGGTTGGTAGGGGAGTTAATTAGGTTTATTTATTTATTTAATGGAGGTACTGGGGATTGAACCCAGGACCTCGTGCATGCTAAGTACGCCCTCTACCACTGAGCTAGATCCTCCCCTCTGTGTACTCACACTCTTGACCACATATCGACCAAGACACAGCTGTCCACAGGGTTGGCCCAGGACACCCTGGCTTGAGGACACCCCCATCCCACCTGCAGAGCCAGTCCTACCGCACCAACCACATTGTGATGACCATGGGCTCGGACTTCCAATATGAGAATGCCAACATGTGGTTCAAGAACCTTGACAAGCTCATCCAGCTGGTCAACGCCCAGGTGAGTGTCCCCACTCCATGGGCACGTGTGCTTGGGCCACATACACCATCTGTGGATGCTATCTTAGTTTTCTATTGCTACTTCAACAAGTTACCATAAATGTAGTGGCTTAAAACAACAGAAATCAGATTATCTTACAGTTCTCTAGGTCAGAAGTCTGACATAGGTCTCACTGGGCTATCAAGATATCTTGTCAGCAGGGCTGCGTTCCTTCTGAAAGTCCTAGGGGAAAGTCACCTTGCCTGGTCTAGCTTCTAGAGGCTGCCCACATTCCTTGGCTCATGGCCCCATCCTCTGTCTTCAAAGACAAAAACGTAGCAGCTTTCTGAGCCTGCCTCTCTTGTCACATCTCTTTCTCTCACTCGCATATCTTCTACCTCCCTCTTCAACTTTTAGAGACCCTTGTGATTACACTGGACCCACAAAATAATCCAGGATAATCTAGTTTAAGGTC